AACGCTCCTAAAGCCAAACTGAAGCCATTTTTCTGGGATAAAGTTGCAGCTAACCCTGATCATTCAATGGTCTGGAATCAGATTAAATCCGGATCATTCCAGTACGTGACAATTCTTTTCTTGTTTTTCTTTTTACTCTTGAAGCCAATGGATAAGTATGAGATACTTGACACTACCTTTGCAGGTTCAATGAGGAGATGATAGAAACTCTGTTTGGGTATGCATCTGTTGACAAGAATAAAAATGATAAAAAGAAAGAGCCCTCTACACAGGATCCCGTGGCTCAGTATATTCAAATCCTTGATCCCAAGAAAGCACAAAATTTAGCAATCCTTTTGCGGGCATTGAATGTGACCACTGAAGAAGTTTGTGATGCACTTCGTGAAGGTAATTTTCTCCATCTTTTTATCCATTAAAAAATGTGCTTCTGAGCAACCTAGGTGTAGGTTTCTAAGCTAGTGCTCCACATAGATGTTTGTCTGGTATACATGCCTATGGTAATGGCTAAGAGTGAAGCATGCTTAGCAATTAGGGTTACAAGCATTTTCTCCAGTAGTCATAATGTGTGTTTTCAACAACTGGGGGATAATTGTTGATAATTTAACAAGAATTTAGTCAGGGCATTTACTTATACCAATTATTGATCCTTGAAAGTGGCACTACTGTCCATGGAATTGGAAAATTTTCTATATAATTTGCTACCTTTCCCTGTTGGCTGATTCCTTTTGGCTTTTAATACATTGTATCTCATCTTGGAAAAGAATCTTAGTTGGCATGTTTTATATATCTACCATGTCTGAACTTATGCTAATGCCTGAACAATGTCGAACATGAACATTTAGTTGAAGCTAAGCATATGCAATAGAATAGCCTGCAGGGTTTTTCCTCCTTTACCGTATCATACTGACTGAGCTTTTCTATGCTTGGAATTAACATATTTTTTTGAACATAGGCTGGAATATTACACTTAAACCCAATTAACCACACTATCTGCTCATGCATCATAATCAAACAGTCTTGAGGGTTAGAGGAAATACACAGGTTCATTCTAGTAATATGGAAAATTATTAAGATAACCTTGGCGCCTGAAACTTGTAGGAAGTGTGCGATTATTAACACCCACATAACTAAATAGGACATCTTCCCTTGAACCAAAAATATTTGTTTAAAAACCTGTAATTTGAGCTCACGGCTTCCGAAAAGGGTAGTGCTCCTAACTCTCATTCTGTGAGTACAAGTATGTTTTTGTTTATTTGTTTATTTTCTGGGGGTGGGGATGGGGGCTTTGGGGTGTTTCCCTCTACCTATTGTAATATCAAGATGTGGACAGTGCTCTGCAGGCCTTTCTCCAGAATCCATGGGTGCACCATTGCCCTGGACTTATGAAGATTTATGGACGGATCTAGTATTAATGTACAGACATCTATTTTTGGATATGAAAATATTTGCTGAATTATCTTGCAAGTGAACATTTCATAACTGAAAGAGCTTCAAGCAACTTTATTTTATTGATCAATCATGTGTTGGATGGGGTCTATGCTGTTAGTCTGTTGTGCTTCTAGTGTGCTTTCGATTGTTGAATTATTGTAGTACTAATATGTTCCCTTTTTTGGTCCTAAACAAAAGGTAATACTAATGTGTTTAGTTTTCAATCATGATATTCTAACTTGTTCTTTTGAAATCAGGAAATGAGCTCCCTGTCGAACTCCTTCAAACTTTATTGAAGATGGCACCAACAGCTGATGAAGAACTCAAACTTAGACTGTTCAATGGTGAACTTTCTCAACTTGGTCCTGCTGAGCGGTTCCTGAAAGTCTTGGTTGACGTCCCATTTACTTTTAAACGAATGGAAGCGCTGCTTTTTATGTGCTCTCTTAATGAGGAGGTTATTGTCACTAGAGAGTCCTTTGAAACATTAGAGGTGGGTCATTAGATTTTAAATTGCATCACTTGCGCATTATATTTTGGTCCAATAATTCATATGAGGCATGTCATGCATGAGCAATGGTTGGACATATTTTAGGTAGTCAACAAAATGTAGTTTTGAGGATGTCTATGCCATGGAAAAACACGTACTGTTGTGGGATGTTTTATACAATCAAATTCAGTCTCTTTCCTATTTTGACAGGTTGCTTGCAAGGAACTCAGAAGTAGTCGCCTATTCCTCAAGCTTTTAGAAGCTGTTCTTAAAACCGGAAATCGAATGAATGATGGGACATTCCGTGGTGGTGCTCAAGCTTTCAAACTTGACACACTTTTGAAGTTATCAGATGTTAAAGGAGTAGATGGCAAGACCACACTATTGCACTTTGTTGTCCAAGAAATAATACGCACTGAAGGTTTAAGAGCTGCCCGTGTTGCAAGGAGAGCAAAAGTTTTAACAGCATCAAATCTGATGATCTTCTTGAGGATGTTTCACCTGATACAGAAGAGCACTACCGCAGCCTTGGTCTTCAGGTGGTTTCACGACTGAGTGGTGAACTTGAAAATGTCAAGAAAGCAGCAGTTCTTGATGCTGAAAACTTAACAGGAACTGTTGCCAAACTTGGCCATGCAATCCTAAAAACACGGGATTTCTTGAACTCAGAGATGAAGAGTACAGAGGAAGAAAGTGGTTTTCATGAAACATTAAAGAGCTTTGTGCAGAATGCTGAGGTTGATGTCATGTCGTTGCTCGAGGAAGAAAAGAGAATAATGGCTTTGGTGAAGAGCACTGGCGATTATTTTCATGGAAATGCACAGAAGGATGAGGGCTTACGCTTGTTTGCCATTGTACGGGATTTTTTGATAATTTTAGATAAGGTGTGCAAAGAGGTTAGAGATGCCCCAAGGAAGCCAGCAAAAGCACAGACAAAACCGGTGTCCAATGCATCATCTTCCTCTGAGTCTCGTTTTGAACCACCTTCTTCTGATCCTCGTCAGAAGCTTTTTCCTGCAATTGCTGAGAGAAGGATGGGCGATTCTAGTTCTAGTTCAGATGACGAGAGTTAATAGTGCTCATTTGATGAAGGTATCATGTTCTTATCCTTGTCATGCAATCTTTTCCCTTGCCACCTTATATACTGAAATTTAGTACTTAGACATTTACGTGTCATAGATTGTGCTGCTGCTGAGATCTGAGTTCTGTTTTTCTTCAGATGGATGTTATGATGGCAGTTGATCAACATGGGAGTCTGCTGAAGCATCGGTGCTGCAAACGTTTGATGAAAGGAATACATCTAAATTACCAGCAGAAAGGGAAAAGGGGAAGTGAATGGTATTTAGCTCTTCAATGCTACATTTCTATGGAGCTAACATCACAATGTGCAGTTGACCTTCCTTTGGTATTGGCTTCACGGTTCTTGTTGAATTCCCCTCATCTGCTCAACTTGTGCATTAATAGATTGATATAAAGATGCCTTCATTTTTTTTTTCTAATTTATAATTCTTTGTTTATAAATTCTGTTGATAATTTTGATTTGAAAATTAGAATATTTATCAGGGTAGTGTTGAAATTAGAAACTGCTTTACTGTCTATAAATTTTGGATGGAAGAAATTTTTATATATGTAATTGAGTCAGGCGAATGCCACCACTCTTTCCTTCCTGACATGATAATATGCCATTCATTTCCGGAATACCTTTGCTTAAAAAACCCAAAAATCTGATTGGCTCAGCAGCAGCTAATGAGGAGACATCAGCTTTGAGACTGTCGTACCTCAAAGTACTTAAAAGGTTTCTTATAGCTGCATTTTGCCTGGGATGGCTGCAGACTAGAGCCTCAGATCATCGTACGTTTCTGTTCAGTGAAGGAATCACATCTTTGGGTCTCAAATTATTCTAAGATTGAGAGTACAAGATCAGCACAATCAATAAACAAAATAGCATTTATCTTGTGGGTAAGGAAAGATTGATGTGGCTATATTCCAATACCCAAAGTGGCTCCAGCATTTCCACAGCTAAAAATTCAAACATCTTTGAAGAAGATACCAGTTCTTTATGTAAAAGCAACAGATGCCAAAATCAGAAGCATTACCGTCAAAATATTTATTGCCACTAAAAAAAAAAGATGAGAAAACCTTAACATAAAGAGGGTTTCGGGTGGAATGGAACTAGACAGCTGACAACCAATGAAAATGAAAATATTCCTTTCACACAGCCTTTGCATCATATCATAGTGCTTTCAACCTGTCCATTCAAGGATATCAAATTGATGGAAACTGGAATGGGGCCAAATCTATGTAACGGCAGTGAACTCTAGTCTCATATAAATACATTAACAATGAAGCTTGGGACACAACTATCTGAACCTCTAAGGACTCTTTGCTTGGACTCCAAGTCTAACAATTTATTCACCCTGTCTGATTATGATTACTGTTTCTGTACCATGAACTTGAGGAATAACATCATTTGTTGATTACATAATGATAATTTTGAGCTTTTCAACCAAGAAAAGAATAAGGGCTAATGTTCTACCATAAAATTTTGCTCAAATTAGTGTCAGAGTAACAGAAAAAGAATAGCTTGATTAAGGTTTACTGTCTGTACTCTTCTGATCAGATCTGGTAGTTGGTAGCTGTTGTATTAGTATTATCAAAGGTTATCATTTGATTATGGTGTCTTATAAATTTTCTTAAGAACAACATTGGAACTTTTTTGAAAATTATGCAAAGTTGTTGAAATCAAGTGTAGAGTATTAACATTTACTCTACATCAAGAATAGATGGTTCTACAATCCTGCCAGAAAACCTACTTAAGATTCTCAGCAAAAGGATAATCATTTTGCCACATCTTTTTGTATTGATTTTTTTCTGGGGGTCACGAAAAGGCATCGATTCATGCCTAGTCTACTAGTCACATTTCCTTTTTCACCAGTTAGCAATGTCCAGAAGAGAATGATTCCTTTTTGCTTTACACTCTTCATAATATTCCCTGGGAATTTGTCCACTCCTTTCTCTAAAGGACTCCTCTCACACTATAAGATGCCAACCCAATAAAACTGCCTCCCAGAAAATTCTGAAATCATAACATTTTTTTTGGTTGTTTTGTAATGAGTAGTTGCATTAAACTTGAAGTTCAAACAGAAGATCAAACTCCCCAGAAATGGTGCATTTCATTAGCCGAAGACGTGTTCAAGAGGTTTCTCTCCCAGGGAAGTCCAACAGTGCATAAGGTATTTGGAGAAGGATCATTATTTAGTCCCCTGTTGTTTGGAAAATACTTTGATCCGTCCGATGCCTTTCCTCTCTGGGATTTTGAATCAGATAGCCTGTTATCTAATCTAAGGAACGCTGGCAAGAGCATAGTTGATTGGTTTCAGACAGACCAGGCTTACGTACTTAAAGCAGAACTACCAGGTAAATTTTTTCAAGCACCGCTTTAAGCATTCTGATGTTAGAATGTAAACTTAATGATCATTAATTAAGATAGAAAGAAAAAGAACATTAGGAGTGGAGGCATTATTCCATAGATTGCTGCTCTTTCTGTGCCTTGAAAAACAAGGAACCTTGTTTTGAAACATTTTTGGTATCTGGTTCCTGAAAATGGGAAAAATAAGGTGATGTTAGCCATGGGGAATCCTGTGAAAGAGTTGGGAATAAGGCCAAGACTCCATAGGTTTAAAGAAGAAGTAAATTAAAAAGTGGTTGTTTATTTTGTCAAGACTGATCCATGATGGCTTGATGATTAAAGCAGGAGTAGGGAAAACTAATGTTCAAATCCATGTCGACAATGGGAAAATTCTGGAAATTAGTGGACAACTAAAGCAGCAAAGAGAATCCAAGGAAAAGGATTGGAGAAGCTGCAATTGGTGGGAATATGGATATGTAAGGAGGCTTGAGCTGCCAGAAGATGCATATTGGAGAAGAATAGAGGCATACCTGAGCAACGACGTGGTTCTAGAGATTAGAATTCCCAGAAATCCTTTGCACAGTGATACTCCTGAAGATGCAGTTGGCAAAAATTCAGAATGAATGTGAAACAAATGACACAAACTGCTAAGAACACGATAATCTTGACATAATGAAAACTTCTACTATGTGAGTGCAAGACATAGACCATGTATGATTGTGTGTAGAGTCATATAAACATTTGGTATCAGATTATCAGATAGCAGATATAGGCCCCACTGCTTATCTGAAATGAGTTGCAGAGAAGAAGGATCAGATACTTTTAAAGTAAAAAATTCTTAATCAAACAACAAACCAACAATTAAGAATTGGTATCATTCAATTCTCCAAGACATAAGTTTTAAACCCTTGGCCTCCTGTTCATTTATAGGTAAGACTAGAGCTCAATATGAGAGGAAACAGCCCACAAGGGCTGCAGATAAGCTGTCTGAAACCATTGAGGACTACTTCATGAGCATCACCAACCACCTAAAAGGATGCTATTTTAATAATTCACAGAAATTCTAAGAATTAAGTCAGAACTAGGCCAAGAATGAAATATGCAGCAATGTTATTGGGACCTTTCCAAAACAGGATGTGAACCAGGCCAGACCTCAGCATGCAATTTATAACCAATTGAAAACAAAATTTCCTTTATATCACTGCATTTTTTAAACCAAACATTATCATTTAAAGAGCTAATTGAAACCAAAAAAGTAGCAGTGCTAACCAGCACTTGGTCGAGTAGTTGTTTGTGTGCCTTGTCTTGAAGCACTGAAGTCGATGAATGAAAAGGACAATAAGGAGGATTACTGTCATAAATGGGCGAAGAGAGAAATAAGGGTAGGTAGTTAAAAGAATTGGTTCTACTTAGTTCGTTAGCAGAATTGATTGCACCTTCTTTAATATTACCAAAAAACAATCAATTGAAGCACCAGACAGAAGAATCTAGTATGAACAGTGGGAGCTACTCTTTCAATCTGCAGTCAAAATTCTTGCCATAACTAGCTGTCCAGTAATTTTTATCATAAAGATAACACTTTGTTCATGTTCAAGGTGCATCTTTCAGTCTATCTTGGTGTTCAGTCCTTATTTTTTAGCATAATTCCACCCCTAGACCTCTAGAGAGGGTGAGAGAGAGGGAAACTAAACATGGGTATCTTTGATTATGACACTTTGTAGAGATTTTCTTAGCCCCCATCTTTATTTTTTTTCTCTTGATTGTTAAGTAATCGTTGCTTCCATATAAAGAGAGCAAGCCATGAGGATATATGTTTTTTTTTTCCTTTTGAAGATCATATCATTGTGGCTTACAAAGAAGAATGGCAACAGGGAAATCACATGATTTTCTTCTCTTTTCTTCTGTTTCTTTGAGCTGCAGTATTTTGCCTGAAAGTACAAACAAAATAATCATGAAAATGGTCTTTAACTCAATGATTTCTAGCCAGCATATAATGTTCTAATGGATTAATGTTAGTTAACATAAGAATCTGCCTAATCAAAAACACTGGCCATTTTTTGTTGGATTTGGGTTTTACCTTCTCAACAGCTTTTTAATATGCTTTTATGCATTCCTAATTTGTCAACTTCTCAATACCTTATAATCGCTTATACTTTTCCAAGACATTGTTCTTTCTGTTGAACTAATAATACCCAAATCTCATTGATTCAACTATAACATATCAAGTTGTTGATCATAATTATAGACTGAGAATGAACAAAAAAATCAGACAATGTTCTGATATATCAAGGATGTGGCAAATAGAGTGCTGTTGCAAAATTTTGAAGGCTAGTATATACATAAATCAGAAAGATGGGGGACTTTTGCTTTGGTTTGTTTCCTGGGGACAAAACTTTCTGGCTGGAAATGTCTGCAACAATAATAAAAATTGATGGTTCCATCATAATCTGTGAGAAGAATAATGTGGATGCTGCAATCATTTCTTATGACAACCCCTTTTCTATATTTTATAACAAGTTATTATACTCTAATTTTATCCTAAATTTATTTTTAAGATTTATATCTTTTTTTAAAAAAAGTTACAATTTTCGATGTTAAAATTCATTTGGATTGATTTATATAAATAAAAAGAAAACTCTTCCCTTTTCTTCCTAATATCTTGGAGCAATTTACTTCCACTTTGATCAAATACTACTGATTTGTACTAATGAAGACAAAAGGAGTACTTTGAGGAAATAATTTTAACAAGATTAGAATCCAAAGGGCTAATCAAAGATCAATGATCATTGATTTTCTATATACTGTGGAAGATAGAAGAAATGAAGTCCAGTAGGCCCATCCAAAAAACTTTTGGACAAGTTGGCACTTGGGAGTCCATTATTGAACTAGGGAATCTTACAAATCATGCATTACTCTCTTATAATGCTTTTGGTTAAACTAAAAAGTCCAATAAGCCTAATGATTAGGCTCAATAAATAAGCCACAAATATTTTATTTTGGACAAGTAGAAAGAGATATCAGATTCATATTCTCTTTGAGCATTCTTTCTCTCCTGAGAAAGAAAATTCTTCCTTCTCTCTCCTTTTATACGATCAACAATCCTTTTTGTGGATAATCCAAAGCTCATTTGCAAGATGAGTAGCTGTTCAACAAGGAAGACAATTAGATACTGATGATTCTGCTTTCAAAACTTGTTTTTCCTTATCATTCCTTGTACATAGATAAATTCGTTATCCGAATTCGTCTCAAACTTGAATATAGAGTATTTGTATTTTATAAAATTAAATTGGATAAATATAAATACTCGTTTAAAAAATATTCATTACCATCCCTAATTCCCTGAAAGATAATTTAAGACCAGCAAACTTAAGAGAAAAGTTTCCTAAAATATTGGCTTTTGAATGAGCACTGCATAGGGCACATCTGTAACACTAGAAGGCAGCAGAATGTGACATTTCTGATGCATTTTAACTGACATAACACCATCCAGAGTTTAATTTAATGAGATTCAGCAATTAAGGTTGTTTTCAATGTCATATTCCCATACCTTGAAATAGAACATTCTCTCATTTTTTCCTGCAGGCGTCCCATCTTAGTTTGACCCAACAATTGTAGTCCAAAAACTTGGATTAACCTGCTAAACAGATCTATGTTATCAGTCAACTGAATAACCAATTAGATTAATCCATAGCTCTAATCATCTGCCATGTGCTTAACAAGGGACATCCAAGACACAATGGCCAAACATAAACATACAAGATTAGGATCTAATCTCATCGAATTAGCTGATAATGCGAAACTGATAAAGCTGCAGCTTTAAAGCTTAATTGGGTTTCTTTGACTGATTAAGTAGTTAATTTTATAGTAACACATGATGAGGGATAAATTAATGATTAAGCCAAAGTACTTAGTGAACTTTTGTACTAGCTGACAAGAAGCATGAAAACATACAAATAGGAAAATGCTTGTTGCAGTTCAGCCCATGCAGACAGACAATGGATCTCATCAAATGGTTGTTGTAATAAAGAATAGGATCACTATTTTGCCAAAGGGTTCTCAATTATTTGAGGTTTTTGTGTGTTCTCTGGTGAATTTCCATTGGTGTGATCATCAACTTCATAACCAAACCGTTTTAATTTCTCAGTGTACCAAACGATTTCCCAAGCCATAATTCTTCACACCTAACAGCTTATGGTTTTCTCACCATGCATTCAAGGAATTGCAGGATCCAAGCTTAATTAACCAGGAGACGACCGTACCTTTCATCTTCTTTACGTTAAAGCAGAAGGTATTAGAGGAGGACAAAACTTGCTTGGCAAAGAGGCAATTCCCATTAAGTCAAATTCCACTTAAATATTGTATCAACTTTGTTGACATGCAATGGTTTTGTTGGTCGTTATTAAGTTCATACGTATTATCAACTATTAATAACACGTTTCACAATTTCATATTGAAATCATAAATAAGTATTTGAATCTTAAATCTTAATCTTAAAAAAGATTAACGATGTCGTTATGTTAAAAACATAAATTTTTATAAACTCATGATAATGTTCTATATATGATCTACAATACATAATAGAGTAAAGAACTGTTCATTGATGTTACATGATACGAACGCAACCGACAAAACCTTTCCCATAAAGATGATAACAGGTTACCAAAAAAAAAAGGCAGGCCATGAACATCAAACAAATTTGCAAGAGAAGAAAGATGGCTAGTCATTTTAGTCTATTAGGTAAAGAAAATTCATCAGATTTATGAGGTACATATCTTAGGGTGGAAAGTGACCAAATAGCCATGGAAACTATGATATCCATGGAGGAGCTATAGCAGTCTTTTTCAATGGAAAGTGAGTTAGTGCAACACGCATGGGATTGAAAAAACAGGGGTAAAGAAGAAGCCTCCTCCTCCTTCCCCATAGGAAGAAAAGGACCACAAGACTGCCTCTGAGTACCAAAAACCAAAGGGATATGCCAACCAACCTTCTTTCCCATGTGTGATGGCAACTTTAATTCTTTTCTCAAGTACTAATATTTTTCACCAAATCAAATGTCCAAAAGTTCCTATTAGTGTAATTAAAGTGAAAAATTCTTGACACCCATTTGACGCAAAGAGAGAGATAAAAAATATTTGTTTATTGGTATAGTAGAGTAAAAGGTAGGATTTTTTTTTTTTGGGGTATGAGGAAAGAAAAGAGGACAAATATGCTTGGTTACTCTACTGACAAATCTTTTCTTTTCAGGTTTTCTTTAATAGGCTTGAAGGAGGTAAATATGATGTTTTAATCTTGTATCGAGCTTGTATACACAAGCAGTTACATAACCTGTTAAGTTAATTTTTTTGAAAAGAAAGTAATGATCTTATAACAAAATCATATCAAAATAAATCAAACTCTCATAAGAGATAGATAGAATAATCGATGGTGACAAAAATATCACCGAATTAAGTAAGAAAGAATATCATGTCAAATACTTTTCACTTTTTAATTAAATAATATTAAAATGGAAAACATAAATAACATTATCTTTTAAATAATTTTATTATTTATCTATCGAAAGCAATTGTTGAACTCCTAGATCAATGCAAAGCAAGACCAAGGCTATTAGAATTAAAAAATAAGTGCATTTCAAATATCAATGAAGTACTCTCCTACCTTATTTTTCTTCCACTAACTATTTTATATCAAAATATCTTTGACATTATCCAACCATTGTTTTCTTGTGTTATCATTAATTCAATCATCATCTTATTTTTTCTATTAATGTAGTTTTTACGAATATAGAATTTTGCTATGTTTATGGCTAATAATGTATACTATTAAAGAATGAAATACTTTAATAGCTTAAGATTTAGGTCACCTAAGAACCCTACTTTTAGCCACACCAAACTCACATGCAATTCCCCCAAAATTCATTCATTATGTTGTGGGACAAGTTAAAACATTTCCCTAAATGTGGAAAAATCAAATATTGCATTTTATGTTATATGAATGTCTCGATTATTTGACGAATTAAAATAAAATATATTGATAGTACATTAAATATAAACTTAAAATTAATATCCGATTGTAACTTGACGTAACTCGAGTGGTGAAATTATTTAAAAAATTTTTTATTTCAATTTAAATTTCTGAAGTGGACTTTTTCATGACCAAATCTATCAACATTGCACTATGAGTGGACAATTTTAACCTCAATAATATAGTAATTTACAAATATGCAGCTTACATGACAAAGGGCAATATTGTCATACCAACACCCCTGAAAAATTCCGCCAGATCCCCACTTTAAAAAATTTGAAATCCCAACGGTAATAACAGTCCAAAAATCAAATTTTTACCAACAAAAAAGTAAGAAACTTTCATATTAAAAATCTATTTTTTTTTGGAGGATTAAATTAAAGAATATTTTTGGATTTATTTCTGCTGAGTGTCCTTTGTTTGATCATCATCGTCATCTTCCTGCTAGTAAAAGCAACGGTTGTGATTCACTATTGGTAGCTTTGAATGCAATCCATGGTCCCACTTTGCTAGACCCAAATTTACTAGCTCCAACATCTCGCAGCTTCCCTTTCTCTCTCTCTCTCCTTCTTCAAAATGGGTTCAAAGAATCAGAACAAACCTCCATTTCAACACAACCCCTCTCCAACACCAACTTGCACTGCCACCCCAAGCCCTTTAAAAGTAAGTTTCTTTTCTTTTCTTTTTTTTCTATTGAAATGTATTTGTCTGTAGTTGAAGTCTTCAAGGTTGTTTATTTTTTTTAATTCTTTCCCATTTTCTTGGTAAAGATTCAATCTTTATGCTCTTCTTGTTAATGGGTATCTTTTGTTTTTCAGTTTGGGCTTAAAGATTATTATAACCCAATTTTTGGGGGCTTTTAATAAATTTTTCAAGTAATTTGTTTACTGTGGATGACTTTTTTTTTTGAGCCATTTTTTTGGTAAGGATTCTATCTTCATGGTTTTTTTTGTTAATGAGTACCTTCTTTTTTTCATTTCAATATTATTTTTAAGTCTTGTTTGAAGCTAAAAATTGTCCTTTTCCCCATTTTCTGGATAGAGATTGAATCTACATGTTCTTTTTCTTAGAAAATACCATTTGCTTTTCGTTTTGGGGCTTAGATTGGCTTTTCTTTTTTCAATTTCTGGGATGAAGTCTCAATTTTGTAGTTCAATTACTTCCTGCTGTTTTTGGATATTTTCTTTTCCTGGTTGTAAAGTTTTAATCTGTATGCTATTGTTATTAATGGTTAAGTTCTGCTTTTTCTACTATTCTTATGGAAAGAAAAAAATGGAAGCTGAACCTTTTTTTTCCCTTCCCATTTTTGGAGTGAAAATTTTTTTGTTGGATTTGTAGAAGAAATACATTGCTGATGAGGTAAGTGTAGAGAAGGGACAAAGGCTTGGACTTGACAAAATGGTTGGCACTGCAAATAATGGTAGGCTCCGGCTAGCTTTTTCACTTGTAAATGGCTCCCAAGATCTTGGCCCCAATAGTGCGCCTGCGAGTAATGCAGGTTCAGAATGTGGTGGCATTGAGTTCACCAGAGAGGATGTGGAGGCATTAGTGAGTGAGAAAATGAGATACAAGAACAAATTTAACTATAAGGTTAGTGTGTTTCTGTTGTATTTATAGTGGTTTAGTTGGAATTAGTTTCTGATTTTTGCTTGATTTTGTAATTCAGGAGAGATGTGAGAATATGATGGAGTATATAAAGAGGCTTAGGCTTTGCATTAAATGGTTCCAAGAACTTGAGGGAGAGTATGCATTTGAGCAAGAGAAATTAAGGAGTGCTTGGGAATTGACTGAGAGGAGATGCTCTGAAATGGGTATGAATCGTTCATTTATCTATGGTTTAGATGTTTTATAATCATATTGATCAATTTTCATTTGAGCTAAAATAATGTATTTGCTTGTAGATTTGGCTCTCAAAAACAAGGATGAAGAACTGAATTTGATAATTTTGGAGCTTAGAAAGAGCTTGGCTTCCTTACAAGAGAAGCTTGCAAAAGAAGAATCAGAGAAGAAGGTAAGAATGGCGATATCCCTTTTTTTTTATTCCAATATGTTTAGTCAGAATTTCCATTGTTGTCTATTTCTGTTTGGAAAATAATTAGTTCTTTTGAATGTGACAATCAGGCTGCGGTGGATTCTCTTGCTAAAGAGAAAGAAGCTAGGATTAATATTGAAAGGTCACAAGCATCTCTTTCAGAAGATCTTGATAAAGTTCAAGGCGAGCTTGATGGTGCCAATCAAAGGGTAAATATAGGAATGAAAATTTGATCTTCCTAAAGTTCTTTTCGCTTTGGTTTTTCCTGTTGTTGCATCAATTTATAAGTTTACTTTTGTTAACTTGTATTTATGTGATTCTTGGACGCTGCAGATAGCATCAATTAATGATATGTACAAGCTACTGCAAGAGTATAACTCAAGTTTACAGTTATATAACAGTAAACTCCAGACAGATCTTGATGCAGCTCATGAAACCATTAAGCGTGGAGAGAAGGAGAGATCAGCCATAGTGGAGAATCTTCATAATTTAAGGGGTCAGCATAAATCCTTGCGAGATCAACTCACTTCATCTATAGTGAGTTTCCATGCTTGGGAAAGCCATCTCCTGTTGCATATTTTTATCATGTGCAGTAATCTACCCTTTTTCTTATGGCATGCTAAGCACAATGCTTGATTATTAGTTGTCATAATTTATCTATAGTAGGTTTGGCCTAGTGAATTTTCAAGCCAGCTGCTTCTCTTATCTACATTTTATTTCTGCTAACTTAGAAAAACTAAGATTTCATATCATAATTGAAAATTTTGTTTGGAGAACAGGTTTGATTTCTTTAAAGTTCTGAAATTTTGCAAAGTTTCATGGAAATGATATAAGGAGGTGATCTGCTTTTCTTGAAGTGAATCAAATATTAAGATGCAAATCATATGTTTGTAGAAGACTTAAAATTGATGATCAATTAAGTTACTCAAACTAATTAGAAGTGACATACGGGTTAAAAGAGGCTCAAGTGGTTAGTGGTGCCTTTTGTTCTGAATTCAAAATTGTTGGCCATTCTCTCCTTTCTTTATTTTTGAATATTTCTATACTGGCTTAATTTCTTAAAAAAGTTTCATCAATTGGATTAGGCTTCACAAGATGAGGCTATGAAGCAAAAAGATGCTTTGGTGAATGAAGTTGCATGTCTTAGAATGGAGCTACGGCAGATTAGAGATGATCGTGACCTCTATCAACAACAAGTGCAAACTCTAACTGCTGAAGTGTCTAAATACAAAGAGTTGGCAACCAACTCAAGTGAATTAGAGGTTAGGTTTTGCTTCTCATTTACTTTGCTTTGGCATTATACATGAACATATCCTGATATGTTATGTATCTTTTATAGGAAAAATGTTTGTCTCAAGGTAATCAGATACAAATATTGCATGATCAACTAGCAGTTGCAGAGAGGAAATTGCAGGTTGTTTCATCTATCTTTTGAGAAAACTAATTATATCATTCTAGTCAATTTAGTTCCTATCATAATCTTGCTTCTTTTGGTATTTTAGATGTCTGATATGTCTGCACTTGAGACAAGAGTTGAATTTGAAGGGCAAAAGAAACTTATAAACGAGTTACAAAATCGCTTAGAAGATGCAGAATTTAAACTTACAGAAGGAGAGAAGTTACGTAAGAAGTTGCATAACACTATATTGGTAATGTTCTGACCTATATCTTGTGTTAGCATTACCACAAATATATTTCCCTAACAGACTTATTTCTTGATTGTAGGAATTGAAAGGGAACATCCGTGTATTTTGTAGAGTGCGGCCTCAGTTGCCTGACGATTGTTCAAGTAACCAGGGGAAGGTTGTCTCTTATCCCACATCAATGGAATACCTTGGACGTGGCATTGACATGACACAAAATGGTAGCAATCCAATATATTTGAATTATAAAAATATATTATAGCGCGCTATATGATTTTATTACCTATCAAATCTTGTTTCCAAAGTTAAAGACTCATTCAATGTTTGTCTATTTATCAGGGCAGAAGCACTCTTTCACTTTTGACAAGGTTTTTTTGCCTGATGCATTGCAAGAGGAAGTTTTTGTAGAAATATCGCAACTTGTCCAAAGTGCTCTTGATGGTTACAAGGTTAGCTTCTGTTTATATGTGAATGTTGCAAGGACTTTGTTAAATACAATGATGCACAGTAGTAGCATCATAAATGCTTTACCAGACAATGGTTTTATCTTTCCACAGGTTTGCATTTTTGCTTATGGGCAAACAGGCTCGGGTAAAACCTACACCATGATGGGCAGACCAGGACAGCCAGAAGAAAAGGGATTGATACCTCGTTCATTGGAACAAATATTTCAAACTAGGCAAGCTCTTCAGCCTCAAGGCTGGAGATATGAAATGCAGGTGTGCAGTATTTCTTATTCCTCAGTTTTCTTCCTGTATTCCATTCTATTCATATGTTCTCTAGATAATTATTAAACTTTTTCTTCAACAAATATTCACAGGTCTCAATGTTAGAAATATACAATGAAACAATTCGTGATTTGTTATCAACAAATCGGGATGTGTCACGAACTGAAAATGGTGTGGCTGGAAAGCAATATACAATCAAACATGATGCAAATGGAAACACACAAGTCTCAGATCTTACTATTGTGGATGTTCAAAGCAGTAGAGAGGTCTCATATCTTTTAGATCGGGCTGCACAAAGCAGGTAAACCTTTTAGAATATGCATCACTTTGGCCTTCTCTATTAGATTAAGCAGCTATTTGACTATGTTTTCTTTTCTTGAGTTTTTATGTGTTGCCATTCAATATGCATGTTTGGGCTGTATTGACATGTATATATCCAACCTCCACACTGTCTGCTAGTTATGTTGAAAATTTCACATGAGAAATTTTAAAATTCTTTGTAAGAGAGATAAATCATGGACTGTTATCCTGAATGTTATTTGAAAGAATTTTGAATGATGAAGTTTGTGCTTGTCTCATTCAGATCTGTTGGGAAGACCCAGATGAATGAACAGTCATCAAGAAGTCATTTTGTTTTCACAATGCGAATAACTGGAGTTAATGAGGTACAAGCACGTTTAATGCTATAATCTGTGCAAATATAATGCCACTCCACTCTCAATCTTTTCTTCCTCAATCCAATGCAATGTATTATAGTTTTGACCATGTATCTGTTCTCTACCAGAGCACTGAACAACAAGTACAAGGTGTCCTGAATCTAATTGATCTTGCTGGAAGTGAGCGTCTTTCCAAGAGTGGCTCAACAGGGGACCGGTTAAAAGAGACTCAGGTATTTTTTTAACAATACTTATTATTTAGTTTTGTTATAAACTGTTTCTTTCTTTTTTTTT